GCAAACGATAAAAATCGATAAACTAATTATCCCGCCAAAAATTTTTTGCTCAATTTAATTGGTCAATGTTCATGCATGGATCGACGTGATTGAACCAATCACATGAATGTCTTCCTATGACTTTAGAAGCTATTAATCACATAATAATTATGAGTCATGGCTCTAGCCACAGCTCAAACTATAACTCTAAGCTATAACTTGATTACGATTCAAGCTACAGCTCAATTGGCTTGGATCAGCTCAGCTCCATTATGCAGCTAGAGAAGCCCTAGTCGGAACTAGGCTGTGTAACTATGTTGTGGTAAAAAAAGCGCATAATTTGTGTAACGGGTAACTTCGAACACATGATAATTATCGATCTAACGCTAATGCGGAGCTACTAAATTAATACTGGCCAAATTTTTGTAACGATAATGTCGGAACTTTACATATTACAGTATTACGTAAAAAAATTATGTACGTATCGGTATGTAAGATATCTAATAAAGAATATTAACTTTTTAAGGCATGAATGACTGTGTCCACTGATTATCATCTGATCTGATCTTATACGTAATAAGCGTAGGAGTCCGCTAAACACCACTCTATTATTGCGGTCGAAATAATGGAAGGTTTTAAAGTTAATGCTGCAGCCGCTACGAGAAACTATAACGTCACACCGAGAATTGGTATTTTTTTTTTTCTTATTTTTCCTACAAAGCACCTGATATTGGGTACTAAATATGCAGTATATTAAAGCATTTTGTCTTAACTCGTTCAAAAGAATTAATTCTTTTTTAAAGAAAATATTTGCCCTCAGCATTTTGACCATTTTTGTTTTATTTGCATATCACTGCTTTAAAGTAACTGACTTTGCTTACCACAATTGACATACGATAACAGATTATCGAACTGTAGCTAGTGTAAATGGGCCGCTCGTAATTTTAGACCATGTTAAGGTAATCTTATAATCCAACGAGTTTTTTTTGTGTCAAGTACATTTAAGTTAACAATTATATGTTTGTTTGTCGATCATAAAAGTTTCCTAAATATGCAGAGATTGTAAACTTGACGTTACCTGATGGCAGTTGTCGTGCTGGTCAGATTTTGGAAATTCAAGGCAAGAGAGCGATTGTTCAGGTATTTATGATCATTTGATTAAAAATGAATATGTTTTTGTAAAGATTATTCTTTTAATTTTATATAATTTTCCTTTTAAGGTGTTTGAAGGCACATCAGGTGTTGATTCCAAAGCAACTCATGTCGAATTTACTGGTGATACCCTAAAGATTCCCGTATCGGAAGACATGTTAGGTCGTATTTTTAATGGATCCGGGAAAGCTATTGATAAAGGTCCAAAAGTATTTGCAGAAGATTTTTTAGATATCAATGGTTAGTGTCATATTAACTATGTGTGATTGCAAGCTTCAAATTTTGTTAAATATTAATTTCTTAAGTATTTTTTAGGGTCTCCAATAAATCCATTTTCACGTATCTACCCGGAAGAAATGATTCAAACTGGTATATCAGCCATAGATACAATGAATTCTATAGCGCGTGGTCAAAAAATTCCAATCTTCTCTGCCGCTGGACTACCGCATAATGAGGTAATGTTGTTTTATAAATTTTTGGCTTTTACTTTAAAGAACTCACCTGTTAAATACGTTTTATTAGATCGCTGCGCAAATATGCCGCCAAGCTGGTCTCGTTAAAAAAGTCGACAAGGGTGTGTTTGATGATCATGAAGACAATTTCTCTATTGTATTTGCGGCTATGGGTGTGAATATGGAAACGGCTCGTTTCTTTAAACAAGACTTTGAAGAGAATGGCTCTATAGAGCGTGTCACATTATTCTTGAACCTGGCTAATGATCCAACGTAAATTTTAAAAGAAATGAGATTGGTTATATTCGTTTTATCTTTTTGTAATTAGTACATATTATTTTTAGCATTGAATGTATTATTACTCCACGGTTGGCTCTTACTACTGCCGAATATTATGCGTATCAACTCGAGAAGCACGTTTTGGTCATTTTAACTGATATGAGTTCATACGCAGATGCTTTACGTGAGGTAATAATGCATTCAAGTTTCACTTTTTGGATGATTTCTTGTTTAAAAATTAGAAATTTTTTAGGTTTCCGCCGCACGTGAAGAAGTACCTGGTCGTCGTGGATATCCTGGATATATGTATACTGATTTATCTACTATATATGAACGTGCAGGTCGTGTTGAAGGAAGAAACGGTAGTATCACGCAGATACCAATTTTAACAATGCCGAACGATGGTATTATTATTATTTATTATTATTAGCAATGATTTAAATTTTGATTTAACAGTATTTGATCTACTTTTTCTTGTAAGATATTACCCATCCTATTCCTGATCTGACAGGATATATTACAGAGGGTCAAATCTTCATTGACCGTCAATTACATAATCGTCAAATTTATCCACCAATTAATGTTTTGCCATCTCTTTCTCGATTGATGAAATCTGCAATTGGCGAAGGTATGACAAGAAAGGATCATGGTGACGTGTCCAACCAGCTTGTAAGTGCTTAAAGTTACGTTATCTTCAGTTTTTTTTATTGTGGGTTATGTACCTTTATTAAATCAAAATTTCAACTTAATAGTATGCTAAGTATGCCATTGGCAGAGATGCTGCCGCCATGAAGGCAGTAGTAGGAGAAGAGGCTCTTAATCAAGAAGATAAACTTTCTTTAGAATTTTTGGAAAAGTTTGAAAAAACATATATTTCTCAAGGTAATATGATTTTTTTCTATCTGATTACTATTATTGTATCTATTATTGCATTCTAATACGGTTATAATTTCCAGGTGCATATGAATCTCGAACAATTTATGAATCATTAGATCAAGCATGGTCGATTCTTCGTATTTTCCCTAAAGAAATGTTGAATCGTATACCACAAAAAGTTTTGCAAGAATTTTATCATCGTGATAGAAAATCGAAAGTAGGATCGTCAAAGGTAGTTTAGGTTTGGTTTAGGTTCAAAAACTTTTGGGAACCAGGTTTTTATATAAAAAGTTCCAAACTTAAGTTAAACCTGGCTTGCGGACATAAGACATGTCCACATACAGGGATTTTTATTTCTATTAATTATTGGTCAAATAAGTTGGCACTAAATTTTATATGTAAATTTATGCAAAACAATCATTAAATTTAATTTAATCAAAAAAAAAAAAATGCATCTAATTTTTTTTTTTTTGTTTAAAAGTTTATAAAATGCTCTACTTGTCGACAGCGATGACAGTACCCGGATTTTATTTGTTATAAAGGGTCATAATATATAGTAAAATTATACAAGGAATAGTATATTTAGCATTAATTTTTAGATCAAAAAAAATTTGATTTAAAATTGATATATTTTTACTTTTGCAATTTTGTGTAAAGTAAATAATTAATTCGTCTAAAGCAAATAAAGGTTTGCAAAATTATTATTATATAAAATATATATGTATTATTATTAACAATGTATATAATAATAATTTTGCAAATTTTCAATTTAAAAATATCTAAACCAACTGATAATTTAGCTACTATTAAATATCAAAAATATATTTTTAGAAAAATTTGTAAGTAAAAATTTTAATTTTCTAAAAAAAATACTGTATAATAAAAAATTATGCTAAAGGTTTGTTTAACGGTTTGACCAGTGGTGTTCAACACCACAGCTGCTATATTTCAAAAACTAGCTAAATAGCCAATTCTATATATAATATATAGATAAAGATATTCAGCTTCCAAAAACCTTAACTAAAATTTAATCTATACTATAGCAAAACTATATGAGCAAAGGAGGCAATGGGCCAAAAGAAAATTAATTATTTTTTTAAGAACATCTAATTTTTATAAAATTATTTTTGGCTCTTTGTTATGGGGTTCCCCATATGGCATTAAATATTACTGGTATTATTGTTATTTAAACCAATATACAGTATTTACATAAAAATATAGAAAACTTTAAATTTTATTAATAAAAGTTAAAATTTTGTTATTTTGTATGCATATGTTGTAAGTGTGAACCGAATTTAAATGGATTTGGGATTTTTAGGGTTAGGGTGTAGGCTTATATAAAATAAATTCTACCCTAAAATTGTAAAAAATTCCAAATCCACTTAAATTTCGTTTCCACTTACAACATACATAATTTGATCTATAATCATTTGGTATCCGACTTGATCAAGTATTTGAGTATCAAATTTTTGCGAGTAATGTTACAAATCGTCAAAATTTTTTCAGTTAATAATTGTGGCAGCTGAAGCTGAGGTTTTGAAATATTTTAATATTGAATTTTTGGGGCCTCTTTTTTTTAAGAGTTAGGTTAGGTTTAGGGGTAGTTTTATTAATATAAGAGTACAAGTGGATTTTAGCAGGTATTATTGATTTAAATAGAGACCCCAATCTCAGCTTTAGCCGCCACAATGATTTTTTCAGTTGATAACTATATAGTTACAACTAATCGATTAATTGATAAGTCATAACTAATCGATTAGTTGGTACCTAAAAGTTCAATCGATTAGTTGTCCTCTTGGAATTTTTCTAATTTGCAATAATGTCTCTACTATACAATATACCTGAAGATTTTATGTTTTTCGTTAGGTATTTTGTTTTGGTACCAGGTCGTTAATCGGTACGGTAGGTCGAGACTCCGTGATCGTCCAATCAAAAACGATTACATAATTTTTTTTATAAAAAAAGACGAAATCGTGTCTGAGTAATTAAAAACTCCAATGACGAATTCACATTTGTAAAAAGAAGATGTTAGTAAAAAAAAAAAAAAGATGCAGTAACTCCAAAGGCTCCAACGATGAAATCACCTAAAAAAAAAAAGATAAAAAAGAAAGTTGGTAAATAACACGAAAGACTCCAACTCCTGAAAAACAACGCAGTAGTAAAAACAAAAAGACTCCAAATAATAAAATTACACCAATAGTAACAACCCCAACAACTCCAATAACACCGAAAGCATACCTGAAAAAAAAAGATGCGCGTTAGCAGACATATAAAAATAATAATTATGCCTACGATATGCATATTTTTGGAACCTATAAACTTAGATTTCTAAAAACTAGGTTCTAAAACTAGGCTTTACGATTCTGTACCTAAGGACTTACCATCTCTAAGTGAAAAGATCTATTAGAAGCAAGGCTGTGGTTGATATTGCATATAAATGATAGTCCAAAACGAATTGTCGTAAACGATAATGACCAAATGACATTTTATTTTAGCTTTCGTAGGAATTCTTTATAATGTATTTATGTAATTTTTTGCAGATTTAAGTCATTCCATTTATGATATGTTAGAAACTTGCATTTTTAATAATATAACACGTGTCGACATACTTCATATTTAGAATTTGTGTTGCAAATTGAAGACAGCCATGTCATTGTTGCTATTTTTTAAATATCCCGGGTATCCTTAAATGTAAATGATTAACAGTCACCTGACAAATTAATATGGGCTGACTGAAGGAAAGATATATAACGGTATATGAAATACATTAAACCCCACAAGCCTCGTAAGTACCTATTTTGAGGATAACAACTAACACTAAAAAAGTGAGCATTACTTAAGCCTTAAGTATTTCTTAGAACTTTTCCGATGACTAAACATTATTTACAAAGTGAACTAAAACCCTTAACCACTTTCACTTTTTACTCGTCGACTCGTAGAAAAAAAAACCAATGATGCAGAGTATTGTTGACCGTTCAGCCAATAATGGCTATTCTCATTACGCCCGCCCTAAAATGAATGGAGGAGGTACTTATGGTTATAAGTACGATGAAGGTGGCTTTCATGGTGTAAATGGGGGTAATGGTCAACGTCCTGGTGACAATAGAGACCATCAAAGAGGATCCTTCAATGGTCGTAGTGGAAATGGGCGAAACGGCAATGGAGGTCGAAACAATAACGGTGGTAATGGTGGTGGTAGTAATGGAAATGGTAATAAAAAAGTTCATGTTCCATCCAACTACCGAAACCATGAAGAACTCGCCTTCCGAGTTATGAACGTACAAAGTGAAGCCACAGCAACAGATTTAAAAGGCCATTTTAATTTGTTCGGATCTGTGTATAAAGTTGTAATTGAAACGGCAGAGTACAATGGGGCTGATAGATCAATTGGAGCTGCACTTGTTTTCTTTAGGTTTGTATACGTATTATTTTTTGACGAATTAAAATTTTTATTTTTATTTTTTTTTTCTCTTTTTATTTTTTTATTTTTTAGAATAAATTAATTAATTGAGTGTTTTACAGACCACCACCTCCGCAGCCATTCTGGAATAGAGATGTTACTTTTCATGGACGAGTTCTAAAATTGGAGCATTTTCCGTTAAAAAACAATAATACACATTTTAAGGATCCCGCTGATGGTAAACATAAACTTAAGAAACATTCTTTTAATGCAGAAAGCATTGAAATGGGTGCGTTCTTGCAACCTGAGACTTTCGTTTCCGAAGCACTATTTACTGAAAAAGTCAATTTTATACTTGATTACAAGCGACGCACCATTAAAGTCATATTTGTAGTTCAACGTACTCATACTTTTAAGTTGGAGATTCAATTTAAAGATGTGGACGGAGAAATTATTGCTGAATGCGATAGATATCGAGCTATTCTTACTGTCTCGAGCAAATTTCCAGCTAGATATTGGTTTCACAACGGTGCACAAAGAAATAATAATAAGTTTAACTGGTGTTACGATGATTGCTGGAAAAGAAAAACCGAAATTCGTGTTGTACCACGAACTGACGAGGAAAAGTCATTACCTCTACAGCTAAATATGCCAGATAAAAGTGATAAAATTGGCAAGTGGCTCGTATTTAGAATTACATTTGACCTTGATTCTATAAAAAATGGCATAACAGACATCAAGGATATGTTGATCCATGCTGGTGAATACAATCTAGCATCAAAGCCTGGTGAATTTAGAGATCGTCCAATTAAGGTTGTCAAGTCTGATACATTAGAAAAATTTTTGGATAGATCTACGTTACAGTTCGATGTCGCCTACATGATAGAAAGTAATATATCACATAGCTTTCTAAACGAATATAATCTTTCAGAAGATTTCTATAAAATTTTGTCACAGCAATCATCAGGAATTGCACTTAGAATTCTAGAAACTATAGCAGCTCGTAAAAAACGTGTTTATGATCCTCTTACAATTCTTAAAAATGAGATTTTGAAACTTTTGAACGTTGATGTTAAAGCAAAATACGTTCCTTCGTACTGTGTAATGATGCGAAAAGTGGTCGTTACGCCCACCACCATGTACATATTACCGCCTTCGATGGAAACTTCAAACCGTGTAATTAGACATTTTCAAAATTGTAAAGATAATTTCTTACGTGTTCAATTCACCGATGAAGCATCTGGAAAAGTTGGTGCCAATTCGGGTAATGATGCGTTATATAATAGAGTATATCAAACACTCGTTAGCGGTATTAAGATTGGTGATCGACATTATGAATTTCTGGCATTTTCTTCCAGTCAACTGAGAGATCACTCTTGCTGGTTTTTCGCTCCAACAGACAAATTAACAGCAGACGATATTCGAAATTGGATGGGTGATTTTTCAGGAAATTGTGTTGTCGCAAAATATGCTGCCCGCATGGGTCAATGCTTTTCTAGCACCCGTGCAATCGCCTACTTACAAGTAGACGATATTGAATTGATACCAGACATATATAGGGGTAAATACAATTTTTCAGATGGGACTGGGAAAATTTCATATGGATTAGCAAAAACTATTGCCCAGAGCTTAGAATTGAAAAATACACCTTGTGCTTTTCAATTCAGACTTGCAGGCTACAAAGGTGTTCTTTGTTTATCCCGTTATTTACAGGGAAATAAAATTCAAGTAAGGCCTAGCCAATGCAAATTTGAATCTACACATCAAGTTTTAGAAGTAATTAGAGGGTCATGTATGATTACTGCCTTCCTCAACCGACAAGCCATAACCCTATTATCTACATTAGGGGTACCAGATGAAGTTTTTATTGATATGAAAAATCAACAGGTGCAAGAATTAGATAAAATGCTTAAAAGCGATCATATGGCGATGAGTGTTTTACTCAAAAACGCCGATGAACACGGGATGACACGTATAATGTCTGACCTTGTGAAAGCCGACTTTCTGCAAAGGAAAGATCCTTTCATTCTTAACCTTCTTGCGCTATTTAGAATTATGATGTTAAGAGATTTGAAGAAAAAAGCAAAAATTCGTGTTGATGATGGAGCTTTTTTGTTAGGAGTATTAGATGAAACAAATTCATTGAAGGAGAACCAAATATATTGTTGTAAATCTGATCCACAAAATCCCAATGTAAGACAAGTAATTAGAGGAACATGTATTGTGTATCGTAATCCTTGCTTTCATCCTGGAGATATTCGAGTTGTCACTGCTGTGGAGTGTAAAAATTTAGACTATCTTGTTGATGTAGTAGTATTTCCGGCACAAGGATTTCGGGATATTCCAAGTCAATGTAGTGGAGGTGATCTCGATGGTGATGATTTCACGTAAGTAATTCACAATTTCGTAATTTTTTTTTATTAATTTATCAACCTGTTAATACTTACGTTTTTTACAGTATCATCTATGATCAAAGACTTGTTCCTAAAATAAGAAATTTTGAACCGATGAATTATGAAGCACCAAAACCAGAGATGGTTGAGCAAGTTACAATTGATCATATTAAAAAGTTTTTCGTGAACTATATTTGTACAGATCAACTAGGATCCATCGCTAACGCACATTTAGCGAAGGCTGATATGGCAGATAATGGGGCATTTCATGGTCAATGTATGCGCCTGGCTCAGCTTCATTCCGAGGCAGTAGATTTTCCAAAAACCGGTAGCCCATTGGAATTCCCCAATGAACTTAGAGTGAGTCGCTTTCCAGATTTTATGGAAAAACCTGACAAACCCTCATACCTTTCTCAGAAAGTCCTAGGAAGACTTTATCGATCAATAGAAGTTTCAGATTTTAATCCTTACACAGAAATTGTTTTTGATGATCGATTGTTAGTTCCGGGATTTGAAGCGTATTTGGACGATGCACGTGAATGCAAACGTGATTACGATTCAGAAGTACGTGGTTTAATGAATCAATATGGAATATTATCAGAATATGAGGTCGCCAGTGGTTTTATTGTCAATACAGTTCTTAAAATTGAAAAGAAGAAGCCACGTGACATACAAAAGTCGGTATCAGATATGATTGCAGTTATTAAGAAGCTTTATAAAAGAAGATTTGAAAAGGAGTTTTACATTGAGGGAGCAGATGGAGCAAATATTATATCACCAGAATCTCGTGGTCTTATGGAGGCCAAAGCATCAGCGTGGTACTATGTTACCTATCATAAAGACGAAATTGGAGATGATCCATCTGACCAAATGATATCCTTTCCATGGGTTAATCATGAGATTTTATGCCAAATAGCCATGAGGAACAGTGGCAAAAAAAGAGCATTTAACGATCTTTATGGTCAAGATAAAAAGACATACCGAGCATCGAGTTCAGCGAGTTCGTCGAGCTCGTCTAGTTCTTTCAGTTCTTTCAGCTCATCTAATTCATCTAGTTCGAGCTTCAACAACAATAATACACAAAGAGAAAAAAATGACATCAGTTTCAACTCTTTCGATTATGATTACCTTGAAAGCCAAAGCGATGGAATGGATAGGCTTATTAGTAGTATTGCGCGAAGCAAGCAATCTCGCATGAATTGGAATTGAAAATGAATTTGAATTATTTAAAAATGAAATTGGAATTAAAAATGGAATTGGAATTAAAAATGGAATCGGAATTAAAAAATGAAATTGGAATTAAAAAATGAAATTGGAATTAAAAATGAAATTGGAATTAAAAAGTGATTACTTATATTTGAGCACTATTATGGATCAAAAACAGTATATATTTTTTAAATTATGGGTGTTTTTTTTTCTTTTTTTTTTTTTTTTTTGAATACTTTTCGTCTATATATGTATATATGTGAAATAAAAATCAAAATAAAACTGAAAACATAAAATATTTCTTATTATTATTGCGTACTGAGAATTCATGTGATAACATGACAATGATAAAATTTTTTTAGTTTATTCATAAATAATTATAAGTTTGATAATTGCAATTAGTTGAAAAACAAAATGTCAAGAACCAAATTTAAACTCCTATTAAAATTGAAATTACATTAAAAAAATAAGTAAATGAATAAAATATACTATTAATTATCTTTTTTTTTTTTTTTTTTTTTGAATATTTACAATTTTTTTTTTTTTTTTTTTTAACATTATGAATAAATTGATTTTTAAGAATGGAAATAACCGACACTATTTACATATTTTTATGACCAAACTAACCAGATAAATTGTAAACAAAAAAATATTCGATTATAAAAACGATTAAGTATGCAGAAAGAATCGTTGATATAGTAAATAACAGTGAAAAATGAACGTGAATGATAATTAAAAAAAAAATCCCAGATATTTCTCCGTTTTATGTTGTTTTATGTTTAATTGAGGTATTCAAACATGATAAACATAAATGATATGATAATGAATAAGAAAAAAAATTTTTTTTCAGTAAGTTAGAAAAATGAATGAAAAAAAAAATGATAAATGAAATAATGATTGGATAAAAGAGGCCAGATGAAGGTCGAAAGGTAAATGAAAAAGATAGGGATATATTTACAAAATGGACAACAAAAATTTACAAAAAGGATAGGAATTAAGAAAATTAGAAATTAACATTATTCATCATAAAGCGAAAGATGAAAGCAAACATGTACAAGTAAAATTTGCAATTTATAAGAACCAATAGAACACGTTATTTAATTATTGTGTCGAAGCAGCAGCAAAGGACATGGAAGGATTTTCTTCTTCAACAATAGGATCCAATAAGATCGAGTTTCTATTACCACGAAGGGAAGCTCTTGAAGATCTACGATTAACCTTTAAAGTAGAATTCGGAGGGATAGAAAAAATACAATCCCTGCTTTGATCCAACATGAATTGATCATTTACACCAGCAGAAGTGGGCATGCGACGTGGAAGTAAAGTTGGACTTTCGATAGGACTCGAATCAGTAGATGAGTTGCTACTTGGGGGCAAAAAAGCTGGAGGATAACTTTCAGTAGTGTAAACATGACCTACGTGACCATTGGTTGCATTATGATGATTAGCAGAGTAATTATTAAGGTTATAGGATGGTTGGTAAGTAGAGTCATAAACGGTATGAAATGAAGTGTTATATCCGGCCGCAGAGAAAGTAGCAGGATATGTATTTCTGTAGGCGTTAGCGAAAGGAGTTTGATCATTAGAGTTGTAAAGAGGAGACGTATGCATCTTTGCTGATTAAAAAAAAAAAATTTAGAGTAGGTTTTTTTTATATAAGGTATGTGTTCAAAAGGGAATATCAAATATCTGGGTACGCTCGTAAAAAAAAAAAAATATATATATATAAATATATAATAATAATAATATAATATAATAACAATTATAACTAATTATTATTATTATTATTATTATTAGTATTACGTATTTATTAAATTGATTAAATTTAATACTGAAATAAATTTAATTCCCAAAGGAAGAAAGAACTTTTGCTTAAGAGCGAAGTAAAAATTCTTTTATAGGGACGAAATACCGATACGTAAAGAAGCGTGGCTTTGGAATTTTTTTCTTTTAAGGAATAACACGGGACTATCACAAAATAAAAAAAAAAAAAAAAATGTGGCTTTTGTTATGAAAGATAGCGTTGATGAAAAAGACACAGCCCGTGTATTAAAAAGAGCGAGGAAAATGATAAAGTAGGTAGTAGAAATCGTAAATCATCCAGTGGAGAAGAGCAAGGATGACCTAAGATTTTGAAATCGGATATCCTCCTTTTTTTTTTTTTTTTTGTTTAATACAGCAAAGGCGAGGGGATTTTTTTTTTAAAAAAAAAAAGTAGGGAAAAAGACGTTTTTATAAGATTTTTTTATAGTGAGTAGTTTCCGTAAAAAGATTTCCAATTGCGTGGTAAACTCGTAATCAAACAAACAAAAATAAACTTTATGCAATATCGATGTGAATTCGAGATATAAATGTAAAAAAAAAGAAAAATTTGATCAGAATCATCAGAAAATCAGCGGTACAAAGCATCCACGCGTTAAGAAAAATCCAAAAATAGTTACTCTATTAAAGGTGAACTTACTAGAAAATTATTTTTATATAATTCTGACGCCATAAGAGTTGATATGGTTGTATTGTATTTTTTATTTAAACAATCTTTGCCACGAATATGTCAATTTATGCAGCATTCTCTAATTTTGCTTCATAGTTGCCGTGGGATACTTACTGACAATTCAAGCATTTTAACCCGGTGACTTTATTACTATAGTTAATGATGTTAAACTGCATTGCATACTGATACATTTAATTTGTAATAAAGATTAGAATTCGTCATCATCATGTAGTATATCATCATGAACATTACTCAAAATAAATGCGTGGGTAATTCGAATATTTATGCATACTGTATACCATATATAGGAAAAAGCGAAAAATTTCACACTTCGAGTCGTTATAGAACAGCTTAAAAGGCAAGATTCTTAGTTGTTATAACAAGAAAGAGGCATGTTTTCTCTAACTGATACGGAGACGTAACGCGTATATCCGATGTTTCTAAAATTCTTAACGCATGCTAATTTTTCAGGTTCAAGAATACTAAATTGGTCGATTTGTAATTAGTACAATTGACTATTTATCGTGTGACTATTACAAGCTATTACAAGTTTTACAAGTTTTATGATACTCTTATATTCTCTTGTATTTTTAGATTTCATTTTTCCGATCATTCTATAATTCTTAATTATTCGAGTTCTTAATTATTCGAGTTTTAAATTTATTATAGATCAAACGTTAAAAACTGATTTAGTATATCGATAGATAAATGTACAATTGGATCTTATCAATGTGATTTATCAGGGATGTTTTAATTCTCAAATAGGATGGAATATGTTCTCCGATTGTCTCATGTTTTTTTTTTTTTTTTTGATTGGTTTCGCATTAACGAGCATAAAATTTAAAAGGCATTGACCGTAAATCTTCCGGCTGATGTTAACCAATCGGATAAGTCCTTTATTATAATCTTTAACCATTAAACCCCAAATTCTGCTCCTCTAATAAGGTTGAATTCGTGTACGTACGTACGTATGTACGTAGCATGTACGCATGTACGCATGTATAGTGTTTAAAGAATTATGCATTTATAAAGTCAATTTAATTTGATTGGAAATGTCAATAATGTCCGACGACAATTCTCTGATTCTGTAGTTTCCTTTTGATGCTATCATAACTCCGATCATTATTTCTGATTCCGATTTCTGGTCATCATCCACAAGAATTTTCACGTTTTAAATTTCACCATTTCTGTCCGTTTGTAATTTATTTGTCACACGACTTAAAAGCAATTAACCGTTCACTTCCAAATTTCCTTTTTATCTACTACAGTAAATTATCAATTATCCCTATGTACTAAATCATCTAAATCATGGGATTACTGATGAAACAATCTTATTTCTAATTTCTATTTGTTGAAAAACAATCTTTAAATTTCATTTTATTTATAATTCCTTTGCATTTTTATTGGTCACTTATCTGTCTGTATCTCCTATATTTATTTAATCTTATTTATTTATTTTACTCATTCCACATCATACTCTTCATTTCTTCCATACGGTCATAGGACTGCTTGTGTGTTTGTAATTTATGAAATTTCTATTTTCTTGATTATTTAAATGACCGTGAACATTTACTATAATTGTCTTTTCAAAAATGTCTCTTTCCTTTTTGCGTACTTTTTATATTCATTATTTGTTAATAAATGTTCCAAAATGTTCTCCAATCTGTTTATTTGTAAATAAAAATACTTTCTCGTGGAATTACAGAATTATATAATATGAAATATAATATGGAATAATATGGAATATAATATGAAATATAATCTCTGAAATATAATATGAAATATAATATGGATAATACAAATTTATATAATATGGTTAATCTACTTTTTATATAATATGGTTGCCTGTTTTTTTATTATGGAAAACTGGTATTATCGTATAATCTAAAAAAGTCATAAGATCAGCTCATGTCGTACAATAGAATGAATTCTCTAGCCGTATTTTGCACATCAAATATCTAACACTAACAACTTAATTCATACCCATAAAGCGTTAACAATTATAATTAACCAATAAACACGTAATTTCAAGATATCGGTTGCTTCCGAGCCTATAGTTTTAAGTAAATAATTACACAAAAAAAAAAAAATTTTTTTCCAACAAGAATTAAAAAATAAATAAAATTTAGTAAACCGAAAATCAATCTTAGTAGTAAATTACTATATATACTTCTACAATAATTTACCGGATATACAACAATTAGGGATTTTAAAAGGCTTATAGTTAGCTACGCCTCGGGTTAGCTTAGTCGAATTTTTTTCATGCCTGATCTTTGATGCTTTATATGTAATCACTTCACTAAAATTATACGTATGACTAATAAATGTATTAATCTTAGAATACAGTATTATAAATTTATACGGACAACCCCAAATTTGGTAATGATCATCGTAATTGAATAAAAAAATTTAACTTTTTATACGTTAAAGTACTTTATTAGGGATAGGTAATTAGCTAGTGATCGAGGTGATGCTCAAACGCTACGATCAATTGAAATAAA